GTTCTTTACAAAGTTTTTACTACGTATTCATGGCAGTCACATAAGTAATGCTCTAGGCAAATAAATTTCAAGTCTTGAACATGTCAGATGTTTTGATAATGTGCAGTAACAATGTTACCTAGGCAATGAAATTACATGTAATCTCTGCACCGTGTGCACTTATTTTAATACAAATTGTCTAGATGGTATTCATGCAAACAAATCTGGTTGATTTATGGTATGCTTTATCTCGTTATATATATTAATAGGATCTGATGTATTATGGACAACTCTAACAGAGAAAAAATGTTATTTCCTCAGATTTAGCAAATGAAATGCTTAATATGCTCATAATAAATTCTCAAGAAATTGAGAATTAAACATACATTATACAAGACCTAATTCTGCCTATTGCAGGTCTTTCTTTAGGTCTGAAATATTATCTAAATTATTAATTAGATATTAATTAACTTATCCAGACCATAATCAACTCTCGATGTCATCGATATCATCGCTAGCCTGCAAAATTTATTGGATTAGGATCCGATTTGCTGCTCAACTTTCATTCATGATTAAATCATGAAATTGATAATCGAGACTGTGTTTTTTATTGTACAGACTTTAGTAATGATGATCGAGGCTAGGCCGAAAATTCAATCGCTAAATTCTCGGTTCAGAGTAGATCAATTTGACTGAAATTTTCAGCAAATTCCCGTTACATTATCTAGTTTTTAACCATTATAGTGAGAACTGCCAGCTCTTTATCTAATCTCCCATAATGTATCTTTAAGACTATCATATTGCACACCAAGTGGAGGGAGAAAGATTAATTAAGATACAAGTGTGAGTAAGTTTGTTTATAGTAAATCGTACCAGACAGTTTATAGCTAGATATGCTGATGATTAAGTCAAGAAAAGAAACGCGAATGATAATATTACTGCAGGATGAGCATTACAGTGAATCTATGAATTCAGCGAATCCATCCTTCAAGTCACTGATCCACCCAAGATATTATCAATAAAACTTTGTTAAAAGTCAGGTAAAGGACCATTGAGTGTAACTGTCAAAGGAGTGAGAGAGAGAAAGAGAGAGATAAGAGAGAGAGAGAGAAATGGGGTTTAACGTCCACTCGACATAAACTAGGTCATTTTGGGACTAACACATGGTTCAATTTTATTTCAATAATTCGCTTGCACGTAGGGGTCTTTTAGCAGTGGCCAGTGGGAGGAAACTGGAGGACCTGGAGAAAACCCACAAGGCTGGACAGGCGACCCTACTCCTTGTCACGTACAACCGGGGATTCGAAACCATGCCAGGTGACTCAATGACAGGCCTTATGATACAGCGCGCACATGCTAACCATTCAGCCATCCAACACCTCCAACTGTCAAACAAGTAGGGCTATAGGACGGGATACATTGTAGGAATGTAGTAATGTGGTCCTGCTCTTATTATTTTTATCAATTTATTATAATTCATTCAGATTTTTATCTATATAAATTTAGATATTGAATTTCATACATACATGAACATGTACGACGTAAAATAAACCATCCATGCATTATCCCATGAAAGACTCCATTCAACACAACAAGCAATATAATATATGTCAGATCCAAGTTAGAAACTTAGAATCAAATGAAATAGGGTTTAAAAATCTAATTTTCTGCACAAACCGGGTTTAATGGTAACAGGTATACACCATACAGTGTGATATGAGTGAAACTTTGCCTGGACAAACAACTACATGTAGATGCTGTTCATTGCAGGCCCTCTACCCTACACCACTGACTGAAAACATAACTGAGGAGAGACGGAGAGAAATGGGGTTTTAACGTCCACTCGACACAAACTACATGTAGGTCATATTGGGGCTAACATATGGTTTAATTTTATTTCAATAATTCGCTTGCACGTAGGGGTCTTTAACAGTGGAAGAAAATCAGAGGACCAAGAGGACACAGAGAAAACCTATGAGGTTGGACAGGTGACCCTACTCCTTGTCACGTACAACCAGGTAATCGAAACCACGCCAGTTGACTCAATGACAGACCCTCAGTCAACACATGGATGGATCTGGGACCGCCCGGTTAGTGAGCCAGCACCTTAATCACTGAGCCACCATGGCAATAGAAACGTAGAAAGATATTTCTATTAAAATGCAAATTATCCTAATGGTGATGTACGGAGGGAGATATTTTTCTCAGCAGAGTAAACAACATAAATATCTAGCTGTTTAAATGCGCACAACTTTTTAAAACACAAAGAACTGGTCTCACAAAGAACAGGTCTCACAAAGAACAGGTATAACAAGTAAAACATGGTTGTAATAAGTGTAAAGTCACACAGTTCACCATTTGAATAAATTACAGGAGATATTTAAAGTGACAGATCAGGTTTTTTATCTACCAGTTTTTACTGGCATACTGATTATAATCAAATTGTTCTTAGTACAAATAGTTCAACAATTATAATAACATATATACTGCTAGTAACTACATGTAAATGGTAGCCTATACTAGGGGTGCAGGCTGTTTCGTAACCTGGCTGTTTCGTACCTAGTTCATTCATACCTCAAATTATGGTCAATAATCCCAACTCACTCATCAATTACCATCAATAATCCCAAACTCACTTATAAGAATGGTTCAGTTTGGTTTCTTTTTTTTCAAATATCAAATATCATCAATAATTCTAACTTATTCATCAGCTACAATATGGTAGCTGTGTCATGTCTTATCACTCAGTTACAAAAGTAATCTAGGTGACATGAAATAATTCTAATTCAAATCATTTAATTATGCGGTAAGGTTTTATCTTTATTTCAATTTATTTCAACAACATATAGAGGAAAGGTATGAATCAATTTGAGGTACGAATGAACTAGCTCCGAAACAGCCAGGTTATGAAACAGCTCCTTTCATATACTAGTTGTTATTTATTTATGCGGCAAAAATTACTCCTTAAGCTGGGTTTAAACCATGAGATTTGTCTGTGAGATTGTCTCTGTTGAAACAGCTGGCAGTGTGGCATTGACAATATAATTTTAGAAAAGAGTAACACTATAATGTAGCATAATGTAGCATAATGTAATCTCTCCTAAGTACATGTACAACTGTACTAAACAGATTATTAATATGCAATAGAAAAGGTCAAGTAGTATGATTATATGCAAATATAAAAGGTCAAATGTTTAAGATTAACCAGTGTTATTATCAACTACAAGATGTTAAAATAGTCATGACCTTTCTAGAAATCTGTGGTCTTTCTTTTAAAACATTTCATGGTCATATTTTTCTACAAGTTTCACATGTCAAGCTTGCGGGTCAAGAGTTGCAGTAACAAAGTTGGGGTTTAAGTCCAATCGACACAAGGGGGATCACGTGGCTAAGTGGGTAAGACGCTGGCTCGCTAGCCTGGAGGTCGGTTGTTCGATCCCTGCATTGGCTGAGAAAGTTCATCCAGATTTTCCTGCGTGGTTTCCCCCCTTGTCAGTGATGCAGGACGGAGGGCCTGACAAGGCCAGCTGTCTAGTCATTCAGATGGTACAAAAAACCGAGGTCCTGTGTACATATTGGCATGCACGTAAAAGATCCCTTGGCAGTTGGAATTCAATAAAAGATTAGTACGTAGTGCCGCTGCCTGGGCAAAATATCCCACATAGCACACTTTATGGCGTATGCCCGTCTTCATTAGCCCAGTTTAGGAGCAGAACAGTAGGACGTTAAACCCCATTTCATTTCCAATCGACACAAACCAGGTCATTATGGGCTTAAGATACATATATGGTTCAAGTTTATATCAATCATTTGCTTGTGTGTAGGGGTCTTCAGCAGTAGGAGCAAAAAAGAGAATCCGGAGAAAACCCACCAGGTTGGATAGGCGACCCAAATCCTTGTCACATCAGTCCTTCACGTTTAAGGGGAGCTTTCGTTCCTGCTCCCCTCGACGCACGTCGGCTTTCCTTCGAAGGAGTCATTAAAGACTCCTGCAAATTAGCTAAATCGCTCTCCTAAATATTGAGACTAATAAACTACTTTCAGTTTTTGTTTACTTTTAAACTGCATATATTCAAGGTATCAGGAGCTTTTTATGGCTCCTGCACAATTTTATAAACATGAAGGACTGTCACATACAAGTGGGGAATAGAAAACTACACCCTCACTCCCCTCCCCCAGCCACACTTCATGTTAAGCCTATACAGGAGAGGGTCTAGGAGAGAGTCTATACATGCACATTTAAAAGAGTAAATTTCCTTCAAAAATTGCCTCACATGCAAGGAAATCAACTTCAAACTTTCCAGGCTTGTATATTTAAATTATGATTACAGAAGATTTTCCAAAATTATAGAACTCAAAGATGCATTAAATATAATATGTAAGAGCTAAATCTGCCTATTGCAGGTCTTAGTTCTGGCTTCACATTCTATATAAATATCATTTAGACAGTTATTCACATGCCAAACCTATAATCAACTCTCTAGTTCATCGGATGGATGTGATTTACAAGGATATAAAAATCTATTTTTGAACTATTATTATAGCTCTTTAAACATACATTATGAAAGAGCTGAATCTGTCGATTGCAGGTCTTTCTTTAGGCTTGAAATGTTATCTAAATTATTAATTAGACATTAATTAACCTATCCAGACCATAATCAACTCTAGATGGCATCGCTAGCCTGCATTCTTTAGTGGATTATGAGCCGATTTACTGCATAACTCTCCTTCACGATTTAATGATTAAATGGATAATACAGACTACGCTTTTTATCGTACTGAGTTTAGTAATGATGATCGGGGCTAGGCGGAAATTTCAACTGCTTAGTTCTCGGTTCAAAGTGGATCAATTTGAATGAAATTTTCAGCAAATTGCCTTTAGATTATCTAGTTTTTAACTATTATAGTGAGAACTGCCAACTCGTTACCGAATCTCCCATAATGTATGTTTAACTAAATCTTACATAATGTATCTTTAATACTTATAAATATTTGTATTATAAAATAAATGATATTATTACCTTAGGTCGTTTCCACACCACTCCTTGCATTTTATTGGGGGTGTAAAACAGGGATCGATCATCTGGCGGGAACTCTGTGTCAATAAATAATGTCCCCTTTTCCTTGCTTTCTTTCTTGAGGGCATCATAATCCTGATTTTTATATTTAACAACGGAACCAAATAAATTCTTTAACATTTTGTCTGGCTATCTGAAATCAAATGATATATTCATAAAAATAGGCCCTACATATATAAATATTTAATACACATACACGTACATGTATATGTACCATAAAAAAAATTATCTTTCTCACTGAGGAATTTATTCCACATATTACTTAAGAAATGGTTATAACATCCTACAGTTCTACAGGGCTAAATTCTGGTACATGCAGTGTGATATGAGGAGAATTTTGACCAGACAGTGGCGTTTTCATCTACTCTTAATTGAATTCCAACAAGATATGTATGCAGGCTCTCCGTCCGGTATCACTGACATGAGAAAACCCATGCTGGAAAAGCCTACGTAACTTTGTCAGGAATCCGAGTGTTCCTGGTTAGTGATGCAGCACGTTTATCACTGATCTGCCACAGCTCCATATCACTGGAGAAGAAAGAGAGAGAGAGAGAAATGGGGTTTAACGTCCACTCGACACAACTAGATCATTTCGGGACTAACATATGGTTTAATTTTATTTCAATAATTCGCTTGCGCATAGGGGTCTTTAGCAGTGGGAGGAAACCGGAGGACCTGGAGAAAACCCACGAGGTTGGACAGGCGACCCTACTCCTTGTCACGTACAACCGGGGATTCGAAACCACGCCAGTCGACTCAATGACAGACTTTATGATACAGCGCGCGCACGCTAACCATTCAGCCATCCAACCCCCCTCGAGAAGAAAAATGCTTCATACTTGAATACAATGGAAAAACAGGTGTATGTACATGCTGACTGATAAAGATATTCTGATCAAATCACATCCCAGTCAATATTTTGTTTAAACTAGCATATAAATGTTAAAATTACATTTTAAAAATTGCGTCTTTACTTCAAGATTCCTCTTAAATGCCAGTAGTAAGAGATGTTTACGTTTATACAATTTTTAATGTTAAAGACCTTGACACAGTATATCTACAAAGCCATACTGACATACACACATGTACATGTAGCGTATATGTCACTCAATGAATAGGGTATAAATAAATAAACAGCTATACCCTGTATACTACAATTGCTTACAAATATATTCATGCTAGGATATATTCCTCTGAATCACACTATACAGTCAATATCAGGCAAGGTGTATTGTCAGGCTTATTGGAAAGGTCATTTGCATACGGAAAATTCATCCGTCGGGGATTCTAATAATGTGACCAGACGTCTAATCCTAACTCGAGCCATGAATGAAATTGGGTTTAACATCCTACTTTTCTACACATAGTCATGAATACGACAGAACTACATGTAAGCACGGTATATATAGTCAATATTGCATAGAGTCTACACTAGTACTACATGTACTGTCTGGTCATTTGAGTACGGAAAGTTCATCTGTAGGGAGGTCATACAGAAAATTCATTTCCCATGGAATTCTGATAAATGTGATGTCTGGCCCTCACACTTGACCCTAGCCCTTGTGGGACTGATACATGTACTACCAAATTCTTGTTTCTATAACCAAGTGGACAAGCTATCGGGTCGAGTGCATTTTCAGGACATCTTCAGGGAATTCCAATAATGTGATGTCTAACCCTAACCATGGAGATTCCTATAATAAAGAAATGGACTAGCTATTGGGCTGCTTGGGCAGGTCACATGACCATCAAATTCCAAAGGTGGGACCTCGAAACCTGACTTACGACCCGACTTGAAATATTTGTCGTGAGACCTGGCAGTCGTGACAATTACATGTAGTCTCGGTGAGGGGACATGATTTTAACTTTGCTTATGGCTACTTGAATGGGACTTGTGCTTTTATGAAGACTTTGGACTCGACTCAGATTCGAGGCACCGCAACTTGCTCCCACCTCTGCATTCCCGTTATGAACAAGTGCATCAGCTATCCACATGCTCAGCAGTAAAAGATTGGTCATTATACATTAAGTAGAGTATGTAAATTTACAACCTTCTCAACCGACCCCGACAATAGACTATCCCTATAGAAGTTGTTTTTTGTTTGTTATCAACAACTGAGAGTGACTCATAACCTATAAACTCTATACACATAATGGACCAGAAAACATATGTTGCCCTAAAATCATTCATATAAAATTATAAATTCTCTAAGCTTCAGCTTATTATTGGGTATTTTCAATAAAATTATAATCTGGTGTCCCAGACAAGGCATTGTCAGTCCAAGTTTATGTTTAGAGTGCAGATAAAATCAATTCTTATATTATCCATGTCTGGAAATAAGACAGAAATGGGGTTTAACGTCCACTCGACACAAACTAGGTCATTTTGGGACTATCATATGGTTAATTGTATTTACATAATTCGCTTGCGCGTAGGGGTCTTTAGCAGCGGGAGGAAACCAGAGAAAACCCACGAGGTTGGATAGGCGATCCTATTCCTTGTCACGTAGTCTGGAAATAAACCACCTGTCACAGACATCAGGTACAAATTCGGGTTTTATCAGTTATTATAATCCCGGCAAATGATCACTGTATACATGAGCTACAAATCGTGTACTGAAGCTACACCAGGGTTCTCACTTCAAAATTTTGTCAGTCAAGTTATTACTGTTTGAAGTTTTGAGATAGACTGTTTATTTTCGTAGCAACGTTTACTGGTTAATCGAGACTCAGCCTTGCTTCTCCATTTTTAAATTAAATCATTAAATGGTGATTGTATTTCTATCTGTTTAAATCTCTAGATAGGCTTGTCTAAATAATAATTCCTATAACATTTGAAGCCAAAAAACCCAAAAAAACCTGCAATAGACAGATTTAGCTCTAACATAATGCATCTTTAAAGTTTTTTTATACATAAAACTTTAAACCAATAATTGTTTTATGGTTCAATTCATTGAAATTTTTATTTTAAAGGGAGCGTTATGCAACATTTATATAAACAGCCAATCTGATTAAAATATAGATCTATATTTCGTTTAGTTTTTTTATACTTTCGATGGCCTACACTACATGAAGATCTGACAAGTTATAGCCATAGGTCACGTCAGGGGTCAAAGACCGACTTATGACACTATCATGCTATATATATTTCAAAAATAAATAACGCAAAATGAATATTTTGGAAATTTAATTTCATTCAAATTACTTTATTTTGAACGTAGTTGTAGTTTTGACAAGAAGTGTTCATTGATGTACACAGTACTTGTCGCTGGAGTCTTAGCCTCACTTTTCCATTTTCAAATTAAATCAATCTACTTAAAATCGGAGCCATCCGATGACATCAAGAGTGGATTATGGTCTTGTCATGTTAATAAATGTCTAATTAATAATTTAAATAACAATTACGGCTCAAAGAAAGACCTACAATAGGCAGATTTATCTCTTACATAATGTATGTTTAAGGCATTTAAAGACCTACAATAGGCACATTTAGCTCTTACAAGACACATAAATTGACAGGTTAGTTCTCCAGTGGGTCAATTTCACTGACCATCAAGACTTAGAAGTGAGCTCCTACACTAATTACATCAACCTCCAGTTTTACAAGTAACACACCACGATTTGTACACACATCCTTAATCCTGTTTTATATGTACATGTTGTCGCTGGTTACATGGAAACAGTCCCATTACATTTGTATTAGATCAACTTTTTCAAAGTCAGAAACACAGCAAAAACACACACATGGAAACCGAGCCTTAATATCTACATTATGTACTATTAACTTACCCTTTCTAGATGCACCCCTTTTTCAATAAATTAAAATACATACCTCTTTAAAAAAAAAAGCCAAACAATATTACACAAACTTTGTCTAATATATGTACACTGAATACTTTCTAGGTACAACTAGCTGCGTAGAAAAGGAATGTAGAATAAATTGAGTTAGAGTCTAGTGGACACAATAACTCACATGCCAAAACAAAAGATAACTTCACACTTCACACACTATTTTAAACAAAAAATTATTTACACAATACACTTAAGCCTTTTGTACTTAAAAATAGCCATAGAGTAAATAAATGAAACAATTCTTCCAACACTGTATCTTATCACACAGTAGTACATAATAATCACTCTTGCACAACAAATACTTGAGGGTAGTTTAAAAAAAAAAAAAAAATATAGCTTATTTATTACGTTTTAAAACAATACAATCAACAATAACAATGAATAGATAACTAACAAAATAAACTCCTTATTTTTAAGTCAACAATAGAATTAGACCTACAGATAGATAACACTATTCCTGAAGCATTGATTAGGAGAATTGCATTATCAGTATATTAAAGATGTATTATGTAAGATTGCGATAAAGAGATGCAACATTTCCAGCTATATACTAGTTAAAAATAGATAATAAAAAGAGAATATATTGAAAATGTCAGCCAAATTTCTTCATTCTGAGCTAAGTTATGACCGTTTGAAGAATAGTGTAGTCTATCATTCTTAGGCCAATAAACAAGGTCTCAATTATCCATATTTAATTAAATTATTAACTGGCAATCGTGTTTAAATTCATTGAAAATCACAATCATCTGATAGTGTAGAGAGTTGATTATGGGCTTGGCATGTGAATAAATGTCTAATTAATGGTACATTTGAGGCCAAATGAAAGATCTGCAATACATAATGCATCTTTAACCACAGCTACATAGTTTCCATTTACTCATCTTCTTAAAATTTAGACTTTAATAAGAGGTTAGAACAAACTGAAATGGCTATTGAAGACTTGCAAATACCATGCAGTGTGGTATGAGACAAATTTTGACCAGCATTTTTGCCTCTTCTGCATCAAATTCTTACAGTCAAGGGTTCATTTGCATGCACGCCAACGGGGCACTTTGGTTTTTCATCCCATCCAAAGGACTAGACTGTGTTTCTTGCCAGGTCTTCTCTCCCGGTCCTCTGTCCTTCACCACCAGCATAAGGTAACCAAGCTGGCAAAATCCCACACAGGGATCGAACTCAGTAGCTAACCTATTTGTTATGTTAAAGTACTACTCCTAATTTATATCATAACTTATATTGTAGCTTAAAGATACATTATGCAAGATTTAGATAAAGAGCTGGCCGTTTTTGCTATACTAGTTCCAAAATAGATAAAGAAAAATGAATATATTGAAAATATCATTCAAATTACTTTATTCTGAGCCAAGTTATCACTGAACTTTGTAGTTTTGAAAACATGTGTGCATTGATTGTTTATTATTGTGACCACGGTACTGGTATTCGAAACTTAGCCTCGCTTCTCCATTTTCAATCCTTGTGATCCAATGTGCATTCGGCCGCTCAACCCACTGGTCCCACCGTTGTAATACTATATAGATATTATTAGTACCAGTATTTAGTTCATTAATTTTACTCATGTGAATAACATTCTCCAGTCAGCAGTTTCTATTGAAATATCAATAACTTATTATATATACCAAAAGATTTAATAGACTGAATATTGATAAAACGGACTATATATAGACCCACATGTTTATGTAAGCTAATATACTGATAGCAGGCCTACTAGCACTATGTAATACAAATAGTACAATGTAACAACAGCGTTATTAGGCCTACATGTATAATACAAATAGCACTATGTAACAACAGTATGCTTGTAGGCCTACATGTACAAAAGTACAAACAGCACAATGTAACAAAAGCAGCCTAGATAAATGTACAAATGTATATACTTATAGTAGGCCTACATTGTAGAAATAGCATCATGTAACAACAGTATGATTCTAGGCCTACGTGTACTTACAGTAGGCCTACATATTGCACATATAGGCTCTACTGTATGTTAGAACAGAAGAGTTATTCAGTAAATGACAGACCACACTATTCACCAATGGCTCTAACAAAAATCAATTGGGAGGACAAATTATGTAGACATCCCTACAGTGGCTACATACATGTATAAGTAAGCCTACATTATGTTCTACTAGAAGACATGTAGCAGACTTATTACAACTTTTGATTGAATAACCTTAATCAGCATTAATAGATTCATCTACATGTGATTATGTATAGTAGGTAAGTTGGCTAAATTGTGCTACCATACTTAAAATTGATAAGAGAGAGAAAGAATGAAATAGGGTTTAACATCCACTTGACTAAAACTAGGTTATTTTGGGACTAACATAGGGTTAAATTTTATTTCAGTAGTTAACTTGCGAGTTGCGCATAGAAGTCTTTAGTAGTGGGAGCAAACTAGAACCTATAGAACTAGTTGAAGGGGGGAGTTAATTTATTTCAATTTAGGCCTCAGGTTTTCAGTCCATCAGAGCAAATTGGCAACTCAACTTGTCAGCCCCACAGAAAGTGGGAAATGATCGCTAGAACCCACAGAACTAGTTAAAGAGGCATTAGAACACTGGTGATCTTCCTTTGTCAGTAATTTTATTTTTGATTTGTCATGACATGGCAGAGTTCTTTCTATCAGATGTGTTGAACAAAATGAGACTGATTTGTCAATAAAAATCCACATAGATTTGTATCTTTATTATAGTCTATAATCTACTGACAAGTATGTATACAACTCTATAACACTAGGGGGGGGGGGGGTGGATGGCCGAATGGTTAGCACACACGCTGTATCATACGGTCTGTCATTGAGTCAACTGGCGGGATTTCGATTTCCTGGTTGTACGAGACAAGGAGTAGGGTCGCCTGTCCAACCTCGTGGGTTTTCTCTGGGTCCTCCGGTTTCCTCCCACTGCTAAAGACCCCTACGCGCAAGCGAATTATTGAAATAAAAAAATTAAATCATATGTTAGTCCCGAAATGACCTAGTTTGTGTCGAGTGGACATTAAACCCCATTTCTCTCTCTCTATAACACTAATCAAGAGGTTACGTGGCTTCTTTATGTGTGCATTCTTCTGAGCAGGCCGTAAAATTTTATAGTCACATAGCGGCTGTCGTTCGTAGCCATGTTTGGAAATTGTCTTTTTTCAAAAATGCTGATGGGTAAGAACTAGTTTCGGTCATTTTCCATAGCCCTCGGTCTCGACCGGCATATACAGCCGACACAGAACCCATGGTCTACATGTATAGTAAGTGCAGGAGAACCGCACTACACACAAACAAAACCAATGAGACAAACCTGTGGACAAGACAAACTACACAGAAATAAACAACAAATATCAAATCAAGTGAATGGATCCGAGGGGCCACATGTATAGAGAGAGCGAGAGAGAAATGGGGTTTAACATCCACTCGACACAAACTAGGTCATTTCGGGACTAACATATGGTTTTAATTTTATTTACATAATTCGCTTGCGCGTAGGGGTCTTTAGCTGTGGGAGGAAACCGGAGGCCCCGGAGAAAACCCACGAGGTTGGACAGGCGACCCTACTCCTTGCCACGTACAACCGGGGATTCGAAACCACGCTAGTCGACCCAATGACAGACTTTATGATACAGCGCGCGCGCGCTAACCATTCAGCCATCCAACCCCCCGCCACATGTATAGTCCTGGGCCTGTAATCTGCCAACGACACTCGGTATATAGTGGTTTATACATGTTCAGAGGATGATCTAGAATACCTTAGATCTAAGTAGCAAGTTTTGGAATTTCTGATAATAGACTGAATCTAGGGTTATTTTGAACAGGACATCATATGAATTAGAGCTGGCGGAAAATATTGATATGCCGATAATCGTAGGTAAAGTGTTTCGATACAGATTTAAAATATCGATAATTGGGCAATTATACTATATAGGTAGTCATTTGTGAGAAAAGATCTATGTAAAAGATTATCCTTATCACAGTATATTTTTGTAATGCATGCTTGGGCCTAAACATGTAGCTTGGTAACTGTAATTATACAGAAAAGTAATTCAACACACATTTTGTTTTTTACGCGAGATGCCAGCGCCACAGAGTAAAAATACCAACACTAACAACTGTCGACATGCTACGTATGACGTGACATATTGTGGAATATTGAGATCTCATAGTGACCAAGAGTCAAAAACATGAAATAAGCCTGTGAAATGGATGTGGAATCCGTTTCATATTAAGCGACAAAGATATGTCAAGCGGTGATAGTACGAAGTTGATTGAGTTTCGACACCTTGGTTTTGGTATGGAATGCTATTATTTTATTGTCAAATCAATACAAAATGTATACAAAATGATATTGCAACATAAACTCACATATAATTTGTTATTGATATACAAATTATGAACACTTTCAAAACAAATTGTAAGTAAAAATAATTTTCCAATTGCAATATTATCGATTATGGCAAATGGTCGGCGATCATCGATACATGAAAACAGTATCAATTACTAGCAGTAATATGAATCATAACATTATATATTATATAACTGGTTTAGACTTGCTCAGTAGCTGGTAGGCCTAGGCCTACACAATACCGGTACCGGTATTTATTTGTTTTGCCGTGCTTCTTGAAATGCTGACTGAAATTTTTTGCTACAATGCAGGATGCTACATAACAAATAATTGTTAATGATTCATTAACAAGTAGGCTTACATATACTTGGATAAAAAAAAAATGAATAACTATCACCGTCTCATGTGTTACCGGTACATGTATATATGTAGTCAATCCGTTAAACAGCTGAAGCATGCACGTCAATTAAAATACAAATGTACCGTTCGAACAGCTCGAAGCTAATAATACAAAATATGCAAAATAAAGTATAGATAACAATTTACTGGTCGAATAACTAAAAGCTAAAGTCCATAAACCAGTGCACTGTTGTACTAAATTAACTATTCGTAAGATTGCTACCGTTTCCTTGGCTTGGCATCGTTTTCGGCCACCGGTCGTAAACAATGTGCGAAACCTGAGCCCGAAATCCGATACCTTTCTTCAGAAACTTTTGATTACCATACACATCGCTTTAGCCTCGCACCTTTCCAATGTGACAAAATAATATAAATTTGTTAGTGTCTGTCTACGATGTCGTTTAAATGGTAAAAATAATAATTGCAAACGTTACCTGAAATTATTGATTGCAAACAAGAATTTTATAATGAACTCTCCACTTCTAAGCGTTGTTTACTTGACGGTATTAATCACGAACCGCACCCTACGGAATTTACCGGAGATTACCGAAACATAAAGAATCTTGAAAATTTACGGACACGATTTGGAATTCAGACGACTTTATAGTGATATTGAATTAGTGAAGACAACTTCGATTCTTTACAATTAAAAAGTTCTTAAACATCGATTTACGTACGGGTGTGGGAAAACAGAACCCAGTATGCAATTGTTTTGGTTTTAAAAAAAACCCAACAAACAAAAAACAAGATTTGTCTGTAAGGCTGAGCGAAGGGGAGTATCTACCTCTTGCAAGTTTGTTTTTTTTTGGTGGGGGGGGGGGGGGTAAGGGGGGCTTCAAATGTTATATAAACTATTATTTAGACATATATTCAAATTACAAGCCTATAATCAACTCTCTAGACCATTAGATTGAAACACAATCTCCATTTAATGATTTAATTTAAAAATGGTGGATCAAACAGTCTCGAATAACAATTAAGTAGGCAACAATCTATGCTACATTTTGTCAAAACTTCAAACAGTGATAACTTCGCTCAGAATAATGTAATTTGAATGAAATTTTTAATAAATTCATTTTGCATTTTCTAGCTTTATCTAATTTAATGTATCTTTAAGTGATAAAGGGTTGGTTGGACCTTAGTCGTGTGATGCGGACTCATGTCCGACTTAAGTTGCATCAAAGACATGACCTGAAACACGACTTGAAATATTTATCGAGACTCGACTTTAATTGACTCTTTCAAGTCTACATGTTGTGGAATTTTTACGTTTGTCCTACAACAAAATTTAATTAAGAGCCAATGCATGCAAATGCAAATCAAGTTCTATAGTCACAATCATTAAGACAACATGCTAGGATGCATCCTACACCTTTCTCAAACGGCTTTAGATCAAAAGTTTTAAGTTTTGAATTTTTAAATAAAACACGTACTGTTCACAAGACTAAAATGGTAGCCTATTTATTTATTAAAACCCCGAGAAAAGATGAAATGAATTAGTTTAATCTGATTAAAACACAGATCCTATTTCGTTTTTTATTTCGTTTTATTTGTCTGTACTACACTAGGATCTGGAAGAGTTGTTATATAATCTGCGTTCTGGATAGCGTGATGGATTAGCCAATGAACGCAACGGTTATGGCAACTTCTTGCCGTATGCTGTAAAGGAACTGTGGGTAAACCACTAGAAACATCAACGCTGATTGATTAATCAATGTCTGACATCAAAAGTCGCTTGTACGACCCCTGACGCGAACTCCCAACACAACTGGTCAGATCTTCATGTAGTGTAGGCCATTGTAAGTATAAAAAACGAAAGGAAAAATATAGATCTGTATTTTAACCAGATTGGAATTAGTTTGACCGAAGTCATAATATTTCTATACATGTATTCTGATATAATCAACCACGTCATCTGCTAATTCCTGACCAACAGAAAAACTATTCATTCGATTAATACAACCATGAATTCCATATTTATAATGTTTCCATAAAACTCTGTTACCAGCCGATTTTAAACGAGAGGCAAAGATTATATTTTCATCACGTAGAGTATCGTATTCAGCGGAAAGAATCACGGTATCTGGTAAATTCTGCAAATTATCAGACATCATCGGAAACATGTATGGATTAACTAACATTTTTTGAGCTTTTACAAAATCTTCAGATTGGGAATACTGTGCATAAAAATCGGTTTGCTTATATCCCTGAGGGACGAAACGGTCAGGTAATAAATTGAAATCCACCATTTTTTTACATTTGTCTCTGACCTCTTTTGATATAAATTCTTCCTTTATTAAAACTGGTTTGAAACTTTCACTTAAGTTGGCATAAGCGCGAAAGAAGGAGCCTTTGTTCGATCGTCTGAATAAAATCTGGCCAGTGCTAAATCCTGGCAAATGCCAATCACAATTCTGGAGAACTGGATAAATGAGAATTTGGTTTTTAATGGCTGGTTTTTGGTTGGTGTCTCAGAGTTTCAAAGCAATGGCTGCTGCAATGTTTCCTCCAGCACTGTCTCCTGTAATACAAATAATCAACAATATGAAAAAAATGAATCTTGTCTACCTTTTCGTTTTATCAGAAACTAAATGGATATTCTAAAGACAATACTAGATACATTTCAGTTCTAATTGTTAAGGATTGTTTTACAAGCAACTGTCAACTAAAGAATGTTCGCTGCCTTACCCTCCATCTTGCACCACTGACAAGGGGAAAACACACCGGAAAATCTAGAGATCTTTTGGTTAGTGAGCAAATTAAAACAAGAAGACCTCATCATAACGATCCCAACCCTAACCCTTACATACTGTAGAAAAAGGCATAATTACAATAATAATTTGATGTGTGTACAAAGTTTCATAAAGTAACTTGCTCAGGAAACAAAACCGTGACAGGATTGAAAGGCAGACAGACAGAGCCCATTTCAAACCCCTCCCTTAACTTTGTTCAGCTGGAGATAATATATAGTTTACAGGAAGATACTAAAAATTAGAGGAAGATAATAAAACTTAGAAAGCAGAGAAAAGCACAGCAGGTAGTCTAGGCATATATAGTATGAAATGGCAATATGGCAGGTAGTCTAGGCACATATGGTGACAGAAAAATAATTAATTCAAGCGTGACCCAGTGGTGTATTTGAATGAAGGGGGGAGGGGTGGTATTCTCCATGTCTCCCCCTGTCAACAACAGATACAACTGACCTCAATAAAAAACTGAATCCTATTTTGTTTATATTGCCCTGTATAAAAATAAAGATTTCCATTGTGACCCATCAGTCTATCAAGGTGATGGGGCATTCCCCCACTCCACCCACCTGATAACAGATTAAATACCAATAGAGTTCATCCGACATAAACTAGGTAATTTCAGAAGTAACACGGTTCAATAAATTTCAAATATTTGACACAAGAAGAAAAGTTATAGGAAAATATAATTATTTATTTGGTACTTCATTTATTAGTTTAAGATTTTTACACCATAATAATATATCTTTACATACCATGTATACAAAAATTAAAAAATATGAAATTTAAAAAAATATACATGTATAAATTTCAATAAATATTTAAAAATATTATTAATGCATATCATTATGTAAATTTAACAATTCACTCCACAATGAATACTGTGTACATATTATTATATACAAATCATATAAATTTAGGTAAATATTTAAAAATATCATAAATGCATATCATTATGCAAATTTAACAATTCACTCCATATCGAATACTGACTGTGTACATATCATTATATATAAATCATATAAATTTAGGTAAATATTTAAAAATATCATAAATGCATATCATTATGCAAATTTAACAATTCACTCCATATTGAATACTGACTGTGTACATATCATTATATATAAATTATGTATAAATTATGTAAATTTAATAATTCACTCCATATTTATATTAAAACCAGAAAACCAGGCTCACCTGTCACAGACATGGTCACTGGTCAGGCCCAAACACCTTTCATTCTGTCTTTTACAGAGAGAGACAGACAGAGATAGGGTTTAACATCCGCTTGACACAAACAACTAGGTAATTTCAGGACTAACATATGGTTCAATTTTATTTCAATAATTCACTTGCACATAGGGATCTTTAGCAGTGGGAGGAAACTGGAGGACCCGGAGAAAACTGATGAAGTTGGACAGGCGACCCTACTCCTTGTCACGTACAACCGGAGAATCGAAACCACGTAAGTTGACTCAATAAAGACAGACCTTATGATGCAACACACACACACGCTAACCTTTCGCCCCCCCCCCCCCGCCCCACCCACAAACCTGGATACAAACTATATTTAAAATTCAATACAACTAGGTAGAATAAATGGTAATTGAGACAGATATTGCCAGTGCTATGTCTCTTTAACAACATATAGTCGTTCGGATGGGACGAAAAACCAAGGTCCCCTGTACACATTGAAATGGGTGTAAAAGAATCCTTAACTGTTGGAATTCATGGTAAGAGTAGGCTGTAGCTAGGCTGTCTGAGAAAAATTTCACTAATAGCACACTGTATGGTGTATGTCCGTCTTCATTAACCCAGTCACTGGCAGTCAGTGCAGAACAGTAGGACGTTAAACCCTATTTCAGTTCATTTCTTTTTAACATACAATTTAGTACATTTGTACATAACATATTTTAAAAAAATAAGTCTGATTAATCTCTCACTAACTTGTATATATCAAATTATATAAAATTAAAATATTAATTTATTATAGAAGATTAGTTTCACTAACATATTAAAAAGGAAGGAAAAAAATATACTTTTCTCAATAGTCCTGATCACACCAGCCTAAATATACTTCTCTCTATAGAAAATCTATAAATTTATTAGTCCTGATCACACCAGTCTAAATATACTTCTCAAAAAAAAAATCTATAAGTTTATTAGTCCTGATCACACCAGCCTTAATATACTTCTCAATTAAACTTGAAAGAACATCAAACTATTCAACATTATATCATCAGAATCTACTTTCATCGACAGAATTTCTCGTATCTACTATCAATTTTTTACATCAAACTTTCTACATACAAATTTCTACAGCAGATTTTCTCCAATAGAATTTCTGTTACTGACTGGCCAAGTAACTGGAAACATAGGTACTCTTTTTACAGACCTAACAAGAAATCTTATTTTCAAACAATTTGTTTCCTTCACAAACAAATAATCTACTTGAGCAAACTCTTAGGCAAGTTTTAAAATAAAAATGTTGATATCTGACGTTAAATGGGCTGGTTCTGATCATGTCAATCAGCTGTTTTAATGACTTTAAGAATAATATATATGTACTGTAAGACACAGGGCATATTGCTTGAAATGTCACTCTGTAATAAATAGTAATTATATTCCATAGAACCATGTCTCAGTGATAAAAAGTAATTAAATTCCATAGAATCGTGGTCCGTGTTTCAGTAATAAACTAATTATATACCATAGAATCATGTTTCAGTAATAATTAGTATTTATATTCCATAGAATCATGTCTCAGTGATCAACGGTAATTAAATTCCAAAGAATCGTGGTCCGTGTTTCAGTAATAAACTAATTATATTCCATAGAATCATGTTTCAGTAATAATTAGTGTTTATATTCCATAGAATCATGTTTCAGTAATAATTAGTATTTATATTCCATAGAATCATGTTTCAGTAATAATTAGTATTTATATTCCATAGAATCATGTCTCAGTGATCAACGGTAATTAAATTCCAAAGAATCGTGGTCCGTGTTTCAGTAATAAACTAATTATATTCCATAGAATCATGTTTCAGTAATAATTAGTATTTATATTCCATAGAATCATGTCTCAGTGATCAACGGTAATTAAATTCCATAGAATCGTGGTCTGTGTCTCAGTAATAACCTAATTATATTCCATAGAATCATGTTTCAGTAATAATTAGTAATTATATTCCATAGAATCAGGTTTCAGTAATAAACTAATTAAATTCCACAGAACTGTGGCCTGTGTCTCAGTGATAAAGAGTATTTATATTCCATAGAATTGTGGCCTGTGTCTCAGTGATAAACAGTAATTATATTCCATAGAATTGTGGCATGTGTATTTACAGTTCAATAACTAAATGCCATTGAAACAATTCATGTATACTGATCTTGATATTACACTGCCAATAATATGCTGTTTGAACAAGGAAAACTTTCTTATCACACTCCCAAAAATAGTTTGGATTTGAGTAATTCTCAGAGATCAGTGGAATATGAAAGCATATATTAATTAGCTGCCAAATACAAACGTGGGTCGCCCTTTTTATGTGAGAAATGGTACCTGATGTTCTATATACATTTCCTTGTTCAAGTACCATATTTTTGCTAGTATAAAAATGATTTAACTTGAGTAATGAAATATATCTAATTATAACTTGCGTTTTAAATACTGACATATTTCATCTAAAGCTTTTAACCCCAGATTGAATCGTAAAGCCTCTGATGGACCAATAGGAGTAATAAAACCATGGAATGCATGTCGTACATTATTCTCATGTACCCTGACCCCTGCTTGACGTAACCGCTCTCCATATAAAAGTCCATCATCACGCAAAATGTCAAATTCGGCATTCAGGATATAAGCGGGCGGCACTTTACTCAAATCTTGCGCCATTAACGGAGCAAAGTAGGGATTTAAAATCATGTCTTCAATTTTTGCTGCAAGTTCATAATTTATATCTTCATCACCATATTCAAATTTTAACGCTTGAATTTGAATATTTGACGGTAATAATGATACGTTTGTATAAACCCCATATTCAGATTGCTTCACAAAAGATGACGTGTGAAAATTATTCATAAAGTAATAATCGTCCACGCTGATATTTTTTAATCCAATGTAATTCATCCAAAATCTTATCATCATTCTTTTGGTAATAGCGCCACCCATGCCGTTATTCTGTACATAAGAAGGCAAGTTAAAATCTGTCGCTTGAAGGGCTGGATATATAAGGAGTTGAAGTTTTAATTTCGGAACAAAGGATTCTGGTTCAATGGCCAGACGTTGACTGATGGCTGCTGCCAAATTTCCACCAGCAGAATCACCTAAAAAGAAGGAAGCAAATAAGCTGAATATTGATGCAAAGCAGACGCAAAGTAAGGTGGTGCAGGTGTGTATGTATATATACATGTACCTTTTCCCCTGGATATTTTTATTTTAGCTGTATATTTTCTTCCTATGCTTACTTCCAAATGTCATATATACTATTAAAAAAAGTAGGGGATATTTGATTTTTAAGTGTTATTAAAGTCACCTAATGAAACTGACCAAGAAACAAATGACAAAATGAAATGAAATTCACATTCATTGATTTATTCCAAATGATCGTTAGACTAAGTAAGGCACAGACTGACCATTATAAGGGTAAAATGATACCCGGGGTCAAACAGCAAAGTTACCACAGCATCACAACCAAGTCAGTAACGGGTAAATCCTCCTCTGTTTGCCAAACAAGCATTGATCCGACGTGGCATACTCCTAATGAGACGTCTAAGGTCATTTTGGTCCAGATTGTCCCATTCCTGTTGCAACGCAGCAGCAAGTTCTTGGACATTGGCAGGACGTTGTTGACGTTGACGTAACCTCTGTCCAAGCATGTCCCAGACATGCTCGATGGGGGAGAGGTCGGGACTCAGTGCTGGTAGTACTGGCCTGTAACACGCCCTGCAACAACATGTAAAGCCGTTCTTCCAGCAACAGTGATACCTCCCCACACCATAACAGAACCACCCCCAAATCGATCATGTCTGATGACGTTAACGTCTTGGAAGCGCTCGTTTCGACGACGCCACACCCTCCTACGTCTGTCCAAAAAATCAACAGTGAACCTTGACTCATCTGAAAACATCACATTGCTCCAGCGTCGATTATCCCAGTGTTGACGATCCCTACACCAACGACGTCTTGCCTGAATGTGATGATCTCTCAAACAAGGGATCACGCGAGGACGTCGGGCGCGAAGGTGACCCCTATGCAGTCGATTCCGAATCGTCTGGCCACTCACTCTCACACCAGTGTCTGTTTGAAGACGAGCGCTGATCTGATTTGCTGTGATGACACGATTTCTCAAGGCCAAGGTACGGATAAATCGATCCTGGGCTTGAGTTGTCGCCCTTGGTCGACCTGAGCGTGGTCTGTCCTGTACAGATTGTGTATCACGGTATCTGGACCATAGCCTGCTTATGACAGACTGAGAAACATTCATCGTCCGCGCCACAACCGCCTGTGTTGTGCCGATCTGAAGCATGCCAAGGGCACGTAACCTTTCATTTTGGGTAAGCCGACGCATATCAAAATTTGTTTTCTGGTCACTAAAACAATTAAACTGATGTTTCCACCCTGGAATTCAATGCCACAATGACTGTAACATTCAAAGTCAGAGTCGTGCAAATCTTGGGTTGGACCCCCATGATGATCCCAAGCATCACCTGCATTCCATGCGGTAGCTATTGGTGCGTTTGGGCGTCACATGTAACTGGAAATGTTTCTTCTGTTAGGTTCTATAGTGACTTTTTTCGTAGTCATTTGCATATTTTAGTATTATGCCCCCAAAATCAAATATCCCCTACTTTTTTTGAATAGTATATATGTTCATTTCCTTTCTATACCGTCTTTGAAGCCTGGACACAAGCCACCTGTCACAGACTTTGCTAAGTACAAAATAGAGAGAGAGACAGAAATGGGGTTCAATGTCCACTCGATATAAACTGGGTCATTTTGGGACTAACATTTTATTTCAATAATTCGCTTGCGCGTAGGGGTCTTTAGCAGTGGGAGGAAACCAGAGGACCCAGAGAAAATCCACGAGGTTGGACAGGCATCCCTACTCCTTGTAATGTACAACCGGGGAATCGAAACCACGCCAGCTGACTCAATGACAGACATTACAATACAATGCGTTAACTAATCAGCCATCCAACCCTCCATGTACAAAATAACACCACAACGTTACAACGTATATAACTAAATATACAATGGCACCTGTCACAGACAATGTCAGACGCAAATTAGCCTTATTACACTACATATATATATTACAATATTTCTGTTGTGTGATAAGTTTGTGACAGGTCCAGGCTTATTTATCAAAAATAATGTTCAGGAAGAAAAGATACAAAATATAAATAGATGTAGGCAGGAAGAAATAATGATCATTGGTCTTCTGGGTTAAATGTCCAGAAATATACATAGTAATTTTTAAGGTAGGAAACATTTTCTTTCTGTTTTCAGAATCTAGTCATGAACATCATGTATACCTTTGTTCCTGGAAAAAACATCTGCCGGAAAAAAAATATACTCCTGTGGTAATACTAGGTTCCCAATATCGTGCGATGTGTTAAGATAACATGGTCCTCCCTATTGAGTTCACAATCTGGTATGTACAGGTACATTTGGATACGTTACGATACAATCAACATGAATGATACAATCAACTGACCTCAATATACGATAAGACCTGATAGAATCACCATGATTACACCACGAATAAAACCACGATTTCAATCGCATCACAAATCGTGATAGTGGAAACCTAGCATATGTTCACAAAATTTTAAATCTAAGAATGCGTAATTCACATACCTCCAATAGCTACTCTGTTTGGATCAACACCATATTTTTCAGAATTTTGTAATAAATGAAGGGTAGCCGTGACACAATCATCAAATGGTATCGGAAAAGGATGCTCTGGTGCCAAACGATACCTGAAATTACAGTGGATTACATTAGGGGAGGGGACAGACACATGGGGTTTAATGTCCACTCAACACAAACTAGGTCATTTTGGAACTAACATATGGTTCAATTTTATTTCAATATTTCGCTGTCGGACGAAACCAGAGGACCCAGAGAAAACCCATGAGGTTAGACAGGCGACATTACTCCTTGTCACATACATGCGGGGAGTTCACAATTCCCCACCTGACTCAATGGCAGACCTTGTGATCTAATGTCCACTTGTTAAACCATTCAGCCACTCAACCCCTCCTGTGTATTGCAGCACTAAGTCATGAGAAAGAGAGAGAGAGAGAGAGAGAGAGAGAGAGAGAGAGAGAGAGAAATGGGGTTTTAAGTCCACTCAACACAAACTAGGTCATTTCGGGACTAACACATGGTTCAATTTCATTCCAATAATTCGCTTGCGTGTAGGACCCGGAGAAAACCCACAAGGTTGGACAGACGACCCTACTCCTTGTCACGTACAACAGGGGAATTGAAACCCCGCCAGTTGACTCAATGATAGACCGTATGATACAGCGCGCGTGTGCTAACCATTCGGCCATCCAACCCCCAGCACTAAGTCGTATTACAATATATAGTGAAATCGATTCCTGAAGAAATGTAGGACGTTAAACCCCATCCGATGTCATTTCATAGCGAACACAAAAAACCAAAGATTACTTACTCAACAGATATAACTATAATGTTGGCTTTCTTAGCCAAAAAACTGGTAAATATATCATAGGAATCTGAAAATAAACAATAAATAAGTTCAGTTTAAAGTTGGTGATCGTCATTATGTTTATTACCTAACAGTCCATCTAGGTCAGGAATTTTTTGCAAACTAGATTTTTTAAAAATGCTAACCAATACTTGAAGTTTTAAATTGAACCATGGGTTGATGACAATATTGGTTGATAGTCAATAGTGTAACCTATATGGCATCGTTTAATATAGCATAACGGATGACAGGACACACATTATTCAATAGCGTAACCTACGACAGGGCACATATTATTCAATAGTTAACTAATGAAAGTGCATACATTATTTAATAGTGTAACAAATGATAGGGCATACATTATTCAATAATGCAACTAATCCGCACATTATTCAATAGTGTAACAGATGATAGTTAATACATTATTCAATAGTGTAACTGATGACAGGGCACACATTATTCAATAGTGTAACTGATGATAGGGCATTAAAATATCTATATTGCATGTCAGGCCAAACCCATTTAATTTTACTTTTTGAGGATCTTAATAAATAAGCAACCAAATATTTTTGTTTTTAAATTTGATTTGTTTGAAGGAAGAAATGTCATCGCCGCTATCTTGGAATTGTGACATCATGTCAAAAACTAAAGTCTGTCCATCAATGTGCAGTTGTCCGAGGAACAAGCATGCTATGTTTGCAACAAACATAAAAGTCCCATAGATCAACAATTACTGTATTTTTATTCGGAACAACGTTTCTACAATGATTCTCTTGTAATCCAAAGAACGTTTGTATTTATTTTAATGTGTTCAATTAATAAATGCCATTCAATATGTTTCATGTCGATTGTACTTGAATCTAGGAGTCTTAATTTTTTTTTTTTTCGAAAAACATCGCCCCCTAGAAGAATAACAAGATAAGTAGCATTTGGGGCCATGATTCTGGTCCAGAAATTTCAAAAACTTTTTTCGATTAAAATCGCCCCCAAGAAGAACAACAAGATAAGTAGCGCTTGGGGCCAAGATTCTGGTCCAGAAATTTTAAAAACTTTTTTCGATTAAAATCACCCCCAAGAAGAACAACAAAATAAGAACCCATTGGGCCATAATCCTGTTCCAAAAATTTCAAAAAGGTGTAATCTAATAAAGATATTATTTACCTATACTCATCAAAACCCATCCACCACCATGATAGAACACCAGACCTGCTGCAGGTGTTTTAATATTCACTGGTTTATATATCCTGACTGGTACACCATCAAATAATGTATCTGTTACCTATAGAAATCAAATCAAGTTTAACATCTTTTACTTCTCTGTATAACCCCTGATGCGACCTCCCACTACCACTGGTCAGATCTTGATGTAGTGGAGGTCATTGAAAGTATACAGAAACGAAACATAGATCTGTATTCTAATCAGATTTTGAATCCGCTATGAAGTGTTCTATGAGGGGAATTTGAACCGACCAGGGAACAGCGCTACTTTTAATTTGAATTCCAACTGTCAGGGGATCTTTGACATGCTACAAATGGTATACACAGGACATTGTTTTTTTGTACCATCCATAGGCATACGGGCTCGATGACAGTTGTGTGAGGGGGGGGACAGAATCTGAAATGCCCGAAAAAATTTCGACTTACAGACGGCAGCGCCGGTATTCTGCGAGAGCGGAGCTTACCGTGTAGGAACCCCCTCCCCCAAGAAAATTTTCGAAAATTTGACGACTGGAAACGCGTTTTCCTGCTATTCCAGCCTCTGAATACAGCAACTTTAAAGTGGTCTAATAATAATGTGCCTTAATTAAGATGACAGGCTCAAATTCCAATCACGAATCAATCGCTTACAATCCGCAGAGACCGGACCGTTGGAGAAAATTTTGAAAATTTAACTGCTGCAAACACGTTTTCCTGCTATTTCAGTCTGTCATACAGCAACTTCAATGTGGTCCAATATAGCCTACCAATAATGGCTGACCTGAATCCCCAATAACCAATCAATCGTCTTGAGGTATGGGGGCCTTGCCCTCCCGGAGAAAATCTAAAAAATTTAACTACTGCAAATGCACTAATCTGCTTCTCTAGCCCGGGAGTAAAGCAACTCTAAAGTTATCTAACGGTTTTGTAACCGAAATCCCACCCTATGCCAACCTTAATTCCAACCATCCAATCACACTGTTGCAGTCGCATTCACAAATAATAATCAATGCCTGATAAATGTCGCACAAAGTAGTGTGGCTCCAGACAAAATGTTTTAATCCATAGTCAATTCAGTACAAATTTGTTTTATTCAATTAAAAGATAAGTAAAATTAGTGTAAAGATAAGTAAAATTAGTGTAAAAAAGATAAGTAAAATTAGTGTTTTATTCAATTAAAAGATAAGTAAAATTAGTGTTTTATTCAATTAAAAGATAATTAAAATTAGCGTTTTATTCAGTTAAAAGATAAGTAAAATTAGCTTTTTATTCAATTAAAAGATAAGTAAAATTAGTGTTTTATTCAATTAAAAGATAAGTAAAATTAGTGTTTTATTCAATTAAAAGATAAGTAAAATTAGCTTTTTATTCAATTAAAAGATAAGTAAAATTAGTGTTTTATTCAATTAAAAGATAAGTAAAATTAGTGTTTTATTCAGTTAAAAGATAAGTAAAATTAGCTTTTTATTCAATTAAAAGATAAGTAAAATTAGCTTTTTATTCAATTAAAAGATAAGTAAAATTAGTGTTTTATTCAATTAAAAGATAAGTAAAATTAGTGTTTTATTCAATTAAAAGATAAGTAAAATTAGTGTTTTATTCAGTTAAAAGATAAGTAAAATTAGTGTTTTATTCAGTTAAAAGATAAGTAAAAATTAGTGTTTTATTCAGTTAAAAGATAAGTAAAATTAGTGTTTTATTCAATTAAAAGATAATTAAAATTAGTGTTTTATTCAGTTAAAAGATAAGTAAAATTAGCTTTTTATTCAATTAAAAGATTAGTAAAATTAGTGTTTTATTCAATTAAAAGATAAGTAAAATTAGTGTTTTATTCAGTTAAAAGATAAGTAAAATTAGCTTTTTATTCAATTAAAAGATAAGTAAAATTAGTGTTTTATTCAATTAAAAGATAAGTAAAATTAGTGTTTTATTCAGTTAAAAGATAAGTAAAATTAGCTTTTTATTCAATTAAAAGATAAGTAAAATTAGTGTTTTATTCAATTAAAAGATAAGTAAAATTAGTGTTTTATCCAATTAAAAGATAAGTAAAATTAGTGTTTTATCCAATTAAAAGATAAGTAAAATTAGTGTTTTATTCAGTTAAAAGATAAGCAAAATTAGTGTTTTATTCAGTTAAAAGATAAGTAAAAATTAGTGTTTTATTCAGTTAAAAGATAAGTAAAATTAGTGCACTTTATTTTGCCAACTATATGAAATAATTTTTTTTTTTTCACTTTACCCATCTGCCCGAAAAGTCAGAATGTCTGAAAGTTAGTGAGGTTCCTCCCAACCCCGGCTCGTACGCCTATGGTACAATCCAAACAACTAGACCCCCGTCTTTGTGAGATCGTTGTCCTGCACAACTTGCAAGTGGAGACCAAGCTGGAAAATCCTCAGGACTTTCCATGGCTAACACTGGATTGTACACGGGATCTCCTGGTCAGTCATGAACCAAAATGAATGAAATGGGGTTTAGCGTCCTACTGTTCTACTCTGACTGGGCTAATGAAGACAGGCATGCTCCATGCAGTGTGCTATGTGGGAAATTTTGCCTGTACCGCCGCACTCTGGCCTACTCTTATATCGAACTCCAACTGCCAAGACATCTCTTACGTGCCGCCAATGTGTACACAGGACCTTAGTTTTTTAATCCCATCTGAACGACTATTTATTGTCCATTGCCAGGCCACTGACAAGGGGGAAACCATGCCAACATCTTACTTACTGAGCCACTGTGATTCCCATATTCTATGTAGTTTTGTGCAGATTAAAGCCTGCATTATAATTCACACTAATTACAAGTGAGCCACACAATCATACCAACCTCCAATTCTGGATCGTTTTTAGAGAAAATTTCTGAACCAACAGAAAGTTCGACAAATCTTCTAGTTACATTCAAACTACTATCATATCCTAACTTCTCACTGACAGCTCCCTGCAATCAATAATAACACGTCATTTTATAGATTTTCACCAGAAGTTGATAAACACAAACATAGCATGGTTGTCGGAACAGATTCGTAATTGCCGGGGGAGAGTGGCTGCCAGCATAGCAAGCCCAAATGGGGTTCCAGGGAAATTTTTTAAACTGAAAAACAAAATTATGAAAACAGTTTTAACAAGTCTACATAGACGTGTCAGTAAAGCCACAGAAAAAATGAAAGGAAATTGGATTTAACGTCCTACTGTTTTGATCCATCTGGACTACCGGTCATCAAGACAGGCATATGCGATTCAGTGAGCTATGAGAGGATTTTGCCTGGACAGCAGCACTACGGATACTCATATAAATATCAGCCAACTACCAAAGTTTTTTTGGTGTGCATCTGATCACGGTGTTTCAAACCCTTCCAAACGTCTTTACATTGTCCCTTGCCAGGCCCACCGTCCAGCACAACTGACAAGGGGAAGCCACAGAAAAGATTAATGTGCTGTCTATGAAACTTGATGAATTTTATATGGAACACAATGCCCAATTCACAAGCTTTAACATTCAAAATTTACGATAACCCTCTGACATCTTAAATTGTTTTGAATATAACATTTGGTACGTTACAATTTGCATCTGTTATGAAATGAACAAACTCACTTATATTATTATCTTAGGCTGTCGTTCCAGCATCACAATGCACTAGGCACTTTGACCAGCGATTAAATGGATTTAATTTTTAAGATTTTAAATTTTAACATTTCTACATGGCATTTTGTGAGATACTGTCTATTTTAAATGCATTTTCTTCCCGCAACACAGTGCTTAGTTTTCCCTGCTACGTGTGCTAGATACAAGGAGAAGCCAGGCAAGTGACCCACAAATCCATCGCTTTTGTAAAACTCACCAGAAGGCTAACAGCTTTAAAGGTTGCTAATATTGTTCGTAGCTTCCATGGTTCTGCAAAACCATTGGGAACAGGAGTGTAGAGGAAATAAGACACACCTAGAACTATACATGACCAGAATATACCAATATTACGACAGCTAAACAATCCCATCTGTAATAAACATAATAACATATATAATATCAGGAATATCCAGTCCCATATGTAACGTAATAACATAACATCAGGGGCCTGTTTCACGAAATTTTAACTAAGATAAAATCCAAATTTTAGTAATTTGATTGGATAATATTAGATTGATTTTAGTGCTTAACCAACCAAATGTGAAGTATCTACTAAAATTTGGATTTTACCAATATACCAATAATACAACAACTATATGACAGAGTGCCATCTGTAATAAACATAAATAACATACAGAATATACCAATATTACAACAACTATATGACAGAGTGCCATCTGTAATGATCATAAATAACATTAAAGATGTATTATGTAAGAGGTAAATCACTCTTGGCTTCAAATGTTATATACTCTTCAAATGTTATATACTCTTCAAATGTTATATAAATTATCATTTAGACATTTATTCACACGAGAATATTCAACACTTAGTATCGGTTGTCAAGTACCATTGTTATGATAATAAACAATCTACGCTACATCTTCTAGTAGCCATAACTTCGCCAAGAATAAGTCAATTTGAATGGTTAACACATGAGTGTTGTATCATACATGTAGGTCTGTCATTGAATCAAGTGGCGGGGTTTTGACAAGGAGTAGGGTTTTCGATGGGTCCTCCTGTTTCATCCCACTGCTAAAGACCCCTACGTGCAATCGAATTATTGAAATAAAATTGAACAATATGTTAGTTCCGATATTATCTAGTTTGTGTCAAGTGGACATTAAACCCCATTTCTCTCTTTCCCTTATGGCATGTAATTTGATTGACAGATAAGAAGTTTTAACAGTCAATTTCACTGCCAGTCAGTCAAGACTGGCAAATGTAATCGAAACAGGGGCACTGTTTTAAACATAGGTACATATACTGAGGGGCATGCTTTACCTGTGTAAAGGGGAGCACGGTGGCTAAGTGGGTAATTTTGATCCCTGCATTGGCCGGACAAGGACAATTGTCTAGTTACTAAATGCCAAATAAAGAATAAAACTATCTAGTCGTTCGGATGTGAGGAAAAAAATGAGACCCCATGTATACATTGGCGTGCACATAAAAGACCCCTTGGCAGTTGGAATTCAATATAAGAGTAGGCCATAATGCTGCTGCCCGGGCAAAATTTCCCTCATAGCACACTGTATGGCGTATGCCCGTCTTCATTAGACCAGTAAGGAGCAAACAGTAGGACATTAAAACCACCATTTCATTTCATTACCTGTGCAAAATGTTTGCAGATAGGTCAAAAAATACTTTTTCGAGATTCTCCATGCTGGAGCTAGGTTTACATGTACATACGTACTGTACACAACCACATGATAGCAGATTGTTAATGTTCCCTCTAGGTATAGTGCCAAAAAAAATGCAGATTTTATTCCTGTGACAAAAGATATCTGGAGAAATGTTAAGTTGACATGCTTCAAGATAACTTTGGCACATTAAAAAATGTTGTGGTAGTTAGCATGCCATAGGCATCAGTCTCAGCTAGTTCTAAAATAATTGTCAACAAATTTTGTATCGCATCCACCGATTTATAAATAATCCTCAATCACTTTAAACTGTATCCTGTTCACAAGTAAAAATTACCAGAAATGTGTTCAAAATTGAGGATTAAAGTCCTACTATTCTGCTTGATCTGGACAGCAGCACATGGCCTACATGTATATGATATATCGAATTCATCATTTACAGGAAAATGAAATGAAATGGGTTTAATGTCCTAGGTTCTGTTCCTATTGGGCTAATGAAGATGGGCATATGCCATGCAGTGTGCTATGAGTGAAATTTTGCCTGGGAAGCAGCACTATGGCTTACCCTAATATTTCGAATTCCAACTCACTGTTGGGTTCTTTTACGTGCACGCCAATGTCACAATTTGTACACAGGACTAGTTTTCCATCCCATCCGAATGACTATACGTTGTCCCTTGCCAATCCGTCGGACTTAATTCAAAAATCTGACTTAATTTTTAATTGAACTTATTGCCTATTTGAACCTTGAAATATATAAGCCCTGCATCCATAATAATGGTAGCAATGCAAAAGCTCGCTAGGGGCGCCACTGATACTGTTTTTATCACTGTCAAAAAATCTGACCGCAAAATGTGCCGTTTTTGTTCCGCGACTTCGGGAAGGTGTATGACCAACAACACCGATGACTTTTTACTTTTCGTGAAGAGGAGAAAACAAAGTTTGTGTCGAGCGTGGCTTGGTCATCCAGAAACGTATTTATGACTGATTTTATATATTTTGAAAAAATAAAATGAATACAAAAAGGCAAAAACGACGCTCGTCACTGGAAGTAAACATATTTTCTCATAAAATGACCCCTTTTCTTGTTATATTGACCTATATTTCATCCATCAACCGTTGGAACTAGTGCCAGAACTCGGGAAAACAAATCATGTGGAAGAAAAGAAAAGATAACTTCACCTGATGTGGGTGCAGACCACAGCCGCTTTCTTGTTATTGTGAACGTGTTCAACCAAGTTTCCCTTTTGCTAACAGTGGGCTAGTTCAGGGGCACGATTTTCGTGTGCACTTTTTAGGGGTATATAGTCTGGTGCACGATTTGAATTCTTTCTCTTGTATTGTTACAATATTTTATTGATTCTAATAACACTTCCCTAAAATTAATTTTTTTTAAAAATTATATCTTGGATTACTTTCTTTTTTGTTGGTGATCAAATGACAGCCATATGGAATCTGTTACAAGAAAATGAAATGGAGTTTAATGTTCTACTCCTACTGGGCTAATGAAGACGGTGGGGACGTGAGTGAGGGGAACACGCCATTGCAGTGGGCTATGAGAGGAAACTTTGCAAAACAGCCGTCCAACAGCCTAGTGTAGGGTGACCCATGTACTCACAGAAATACAGTCCACCGCTGATAGTTCGAGGCTACCACTGAAGCGTGCACATTCGCCGTGCCGAGACCAACTTTCTGGCAGTATGATACTATAAATAGCCATGGCACGTGCAATTCTCTACAAATCTATCAACTATTACAGCCGTAAAAAATTTATTGTTGACGATTTTGAATAGCAGTAAAATTAAGCTTCTTGGTTATTACAGCAGATTTAGAAATTACGTTCCTTTCATTTTTTAAATCGCTTTATCATTAACTGTACCGTTAAGAGCGGCATGTTTTGGTTTGGTACAAATAATATCTCTGAATCACTCGGGTTAGACAGGAACATGATACTAGCAGTAGTTTCATTTTACTTTTACAAGCTTCTTAAAACGATTGTTGAGCTACCTAACGTGCTTATTTCTAAATTCAATTTCTTGTTCTAGCTTTCTGTTACGTTTCGTAAAAAAGTAGTCTTGATTATCCCGACCTGTCAATCAGACGTAGAATGGTCGATAGACTGGTTAAGCGAGACTAATTTCAAAACAAGGGCACGTAACCTATCTTTTACTCAAAAGTGTCTGGATGTTATGGACGACTCTTGGAACCAGTTTTCAGTCTATTATTTATACATGATTAATGGTCATAGCTTATTAAGTACAACATGATCGTTTATTTAGTGACTATAATTGTGTGAAACTGATTTGAGGCTTGGCATATATATAAATATTGTGGCGTAATTGTCGAGATATATGGAGATATTTATTTATGGTGGGTCACCCTACCTAGTGCAAAACCTACTCTTATTTCGAATTCCAACTGTCTAGGGTTCTTTTATGCGCACACAGGATATGAGTTTTCCATTCTATCCAAATGACTATGTTGTAACTTGCTAGGCCTCCCCTCGTACATCCGGGGGGAGGCTGGTGTGTATAACACAATGAATTTGCTCGGCCAATGCAGGAATTGAACACGGCACATCCAGTTGAGTGAGCCAACGTCCTACCCACTGAGCTACCGTGGCTCCCTGTTGCCAGAAAAGAGAATGGGCTAGATGAGTATAGGATGTCCAGTGCTCCATCCCCAGAATTCACTTTGTTTTGCTGATCAGAGAACCTGACAATGATAAGTTGAATGAAAAACAATGTTGTGAGTACGTATTGGCGGCACACATCAAACATCCCTAGATACCTACAAATCGAGGAGCAGTGTAGGAAGTTGTTATAAGGATTAATTCTACCAGAATAAAGCAATACCCGTAATTTGAGGTCCATCATATGTGAATTCTATCTTAAAAGTCTTCAACGCAAATTAACAAAATTTTGGGGTTTTATCCATGTTGCAGACCCAATATCAAAACAAATAAATTATATAGCCCAAATTTAAAAATTCCAATAGATAGTTAATGGTTGGAAGGATATTTCCTGAAAATTTGATGACAATAATCTCCAAAAGTTGCTGAGAAATGGTCTTCGGTCGCTTTTTTGGCATATTTTAAAAAAAAAGTGTATACTGACATCCATCAATTTGGGGTCTTAAAAGTGCAATAACTTTTTTATTTGTTAACCGATTTTTAAATTTTTGGGGGTTTCTTAAATGGGAAGGGGGTTGGAATGCTAGTAAATATTCAGTTTTAGTCAGATTGAAAAATATAAAAAAGCTTTTGCATTGCTAATAATGGCCAGTTCAATCGCCTCGGCTAAATTAATTGCATGGACTCCAGTCCAGGACTGGTGCAAAACCCAGGGCAAGAATCTAGTGTTGGCCTATTTATTTAGGACTAACATTGTATGAAAGAAGAATACCGGTACCTTTGTTTATCTAAACTTCTTTGCATCTGTGCTTTCAGCATGTAGTGGCATCAGTTCCAGCAAGTTTACATGCAACACGTCGATCTGCTGAGGAGTTCAGAGTACACGGGTCAAAGTTTATAAGGGGAACAACTCTACCTAATTTATCAGGGATCAGACCATTTTCCACACAAGTCACGCTATCCAGCGTTAATTGTTTGTGTGGACTGCAATGGAAGACAACTGTTTGGGAGCTTGGGATCAGACCAGTAATTATCCCCTCCAATAACTTCAAATGTAAAAACCTGGACATTTATTGGCCTATACCATTTTCTTTTTAACTTTCAGATCACCTTAATCTTAAAGTACAGCACAGAAATATGTATGCAGTTTCTACTGAGCTTTTCAAGTTTTCAAAAAGTCATTCACTACCAAGAACAAGATGACTGGTCATCAATATCCTGCACCCTTGCACTGTTTTGGGAAGGCATTAGTAAAAACAATTTTATGTTATTGGCAATAAATATTAAAATATATCAGATTAATCTCATATTCCAACACATGGAATATCAATGGGAGCAGTCAGAAGATTCATACTCTGATCACAGTAGCTCGTCAAGGCAGGGTCGCTACTCCCTGTAGGGTTTGCACAACATTTGCCTACCTCAATCAGCTGCTGTATAAACAATAAGCTTATAAATCAGAAAATAAAATACTATAATCAATTCCATAGCAATTAAGCCTCCTTGATTCTAAAGAGAGATATTTAAGATTTGTCAAAACTAATTCATTTGATTACATGACATGTGCTGTTATTTTTATTGGGGACATGACAGTATTCATTTTTAATACATGTACCTCATTTGGATTAGGCTATCTCTACTGAAACAAAAACAGCTTTATTTTTACACGGCTTTACAGATTAATATTCAAAGAAAAAAGAATTCTTATTATAATTCCTCCCACCTCCCCTCAAACATGGGGAAGATCTACATAATATACTGTTTCATTTAATATTATATAAACACATCTTCGCATACTGCACGCAGCGACTCATCTATGTCATACTTCCCAGAATGTGACACTGCCCTGGTTAGCCTAAATTTAAAACGCACACGTGATCATTTTGGGGCGGGACTTATCGACGAGACACCGTTTTGTTTAGACAACAGAGTAAAAATAACCCACGCACGTGTGTTTTATGTAAACACGCCATGTTTTTACACGGCTTTACAGATTAATATTCAAAGAAAAAAGAATTCTTATTATAATTCCTCCCACCTCCCCTCAAACATGGGGAAGATCTACATAATATACTGTTTCATTTAATATTATATAAACACATCTTCGCATACTGCACGCAGCGACTCATCTATGTCATACTTCCCAGAATGTGACACTGCCCTGGTTAGCCTAAATTTAAAACGCACACGTGATCATTTTGGGGCGGGACTTATCGACGAGACACCGTTTTGTTTAGACAACAGAGTAAAAATAACCCACGCACGTGTGTTTTATGTAAACACGCCATGTCGGTGACACTCGCGTAAAAGCGATATATAATATGTGCTATGGGTAATATTGCAATAAATTCTTTACCATTGTAAACTGTCTTTAGAGTTTCAATCTGTTTATCTTTCAAAACAAGGTTAGATACTCATAAATTTGTTTTCGCAAAAAAAAACGCCCCTGTGAAATTATCTGTCATAGGCGCCGCCATATTGAATAATTAGGGAACTTTTTTGTGATTCGGCTCTGATTAGTTTGACATCTTTCATACACACAACGGCTAAATAAACATATTTAATTTCATTCAATATGACAATAGAAGAGAAATAAATACTTTTAAAAATTTCTAAAAGCATACTCAGTGTTTTCGACTAAAATCGTCGATGTAGGAATTAAAATGTCGGTTAATTAGCTCAGGGCCTATTCTCAGCCGGAGCTAGCTGTAGATAGGCAGCCTAAGTTTGGGATGACATCTTCGAGGCCTGACCACATCAAAAAATAGATACGATATCAAAGACCACGAGTCTGGGGTTATTTCACAACTCAGATTTAGGGCACTTGTTTCATCAAAGGCCAGCAAAATTCTTCAATCGGGTGAATTCCCTGTATCTATTTAATCACAAAATTAGCCAGGTTTATTATGGAAACTTGGGCATCCAAGTAAAAATATAAGTGGCTGGTAATAATCTACATGGATATCCTATATCTAACAGGCTACAGACACAAGACCTGTGTTTATATCCTCATTAAATATTTCTGTGTTGCCCAAATTCTAAAATGAATTCATAATAATGTATATTTGTAATGCTCTTAATAATCCACCCATATACGCATGCCGAAAGCTCCACATTTGAGGAGTCTCTCGTCAATAAAAACTTACATAAAACAATCCGTTTCTAATTTGGATAATAGAGCTTAAACAAATGAGGTTTTAGTTGCGACTTAAAGATTGTGAAAGTTTGAGATTCTCAGATGTTTACTGGTAAATGATTCCAAAGGCAAATCTTTCATCACCAAATTGTTTTAGCTTTGTGTTAGAAACAGCAAGTATATTTTTGTTATGCGACCTTCAAGTACGTTTGGGTTGATGTCCAACACCAACTGGGCCCAAATATTGAATAGAATACAGGGAGGGCATTAAAGGGTATATATTTGACAGTAAAAATATCTATGGTCAGTATATAAATAACCATCATATCTATCTTTATCTATGTATGGTTTAATGGTCGAGAGCAAGACATTAAGTAATATATTGATGCTGTATGAGGCGTTAGACGAGTGTTGTTTCAATATATTACGCAATGTCTTTAGCTCGAGACCATTAAACAACTTAAAATACAGACACCATCCGACACCTGCTTTTCAATGAGTCCAATATTTCATCTACTATAGATAATGTACGATTGGCAAGTTGCCCGTGTGATTATTTGAAATAATGGTACGGCAACATCAAAGGATGACGTCACATCTGTATTTTAAATAATTTCATTACTCAAAAGCATGTGCTTTTCAATGAAATACGTCACATGAGCCCAATATTTCATCTAGTATAGATAATGTACGATTGGTAAGTTGCCCGTACATTATTGGAAATAATGGTACGCCAACATCAAAGGATGACGTCACATCTGTATTTTAAATAATTTTATTACTCAATCTAGCTCTGTGCTGTGTCTTTCAATAACCAATCAAAGTTTCGTCAACGCATCAAATTTTGCACGTAAACAGCGTTGCCGCCTTCTTTTCATCGAATTGAAACTGTCAAGGGCCCTTTTACACCATGTGTAAACTATTAATCCCAGTTTTAATAAGCCCCAGGTAAATTCATGGTAAAAAGGTTTTCAATAACAAAACATACATAAACAAGATAAACAATATTATAGTTTGTTGACATTATTTTTAACACTTCATAACAATTAATGTACATTGTATATATTTAATACAAACAAAGCCACTGATATTGTCCATTAAGTAAAAGCTTTGAATAAACCCAGCCAATTTAATATTATACATAATTCAACTGCTGAATAAATATTTTGTTGACAAAATAATTGATGCCATATTTTCTGAAACATGTCTTGGCATTAATTTCATGAAACATTTGCAGGTACATGTATATATATGGTAACTCAAAGGAGATAATGCTATTTCAAACAGTTTTAAATTTCATGACCCATTTGTAGACAACCAAATGGAATAAGCTTATTTCAAACAGTACTGACAAGGTGGGAACCACATCGGGAAATCCTGATGAACTTTCTTGGCCAAAGCATGGATCGTACACACGACCTCCAGGCTAGCAAGACAGCATCTTACCCACTTAGCCACTGTGGCTTCCCAAATATTATGAGTATCAACATAGAACTTTATGTTGACAAGCACAGAGTTAGCAATAATTTCTAAGAACAATTAGCTAATTTTAGAAAACAGTTATCTGTATCAATAAATTCATTCTAGTACAATATCTATACAGTCAGCAGTTCATAATTTGACTTCCAACTTCAAAATTTCACCAGTTGGACAACCTTAATTATGAATTAACCGTAGTTGCTTTCCCAAAAATTCATGAATGGGGTCTAACGTCCACTCAACACAAACCAGTTCATTTCGGGACTAATATATGGTTCAATTTTATTTCAATAATTCGGATGCGCGTAAGGGTCTTTAGCAGTTGAGAAACCGGTGGACCCAGAGAAAACCCATGAGGTTGGACAGGCGACCATACATCTTGCCATGCACAACCGGGGGTTCCAAACCACGCTAGACCTTATAATACAACGCACACTCGCTAACCATCCCCCCCCCCCTCACTATTTTTTAAGTCGATGATCGTCATTTGCATGTCTTGGATAATATCTAATTTTCTCAGCTTAATCAATCCAAAATGTATTCACATTTATTATTTAACATTAAACATACATTATGCAAGAGCTAAATCTGCATATTGCAGGTCTTTCCTTAGGCCTGATATGTTATCTAAATTATTAATTAGACATTAATTAACTTATCCAGACCATAATCAACTCTCAATGGCATCGGATTTCTCCGATATTAAATAGATTAGAACAGTTCAGCCATATTTTGATTTCAGCTAAAAATGGAGGAGAGAGACTTAGCTTCCAACAACCAGTACGGTGGTTGAATTTATAGCACGTCTCATGAAACGTTCAAAGGCTAATATCTTCACTCATAATAAAGTAATTTGAGTGAAATTTTCAAATTATTCATTTTACATTATCAATTTTTGAACTATTATAGCAAGAATGGTTAGATCTTTATCTAAATCTTACATAATATATCTTTAAATTAAGAAAACAAAATCAAAATATCAATAGTATATGTAGATAATATCTGGCCCTAAGTTCACAAAGCATTTTCAGACTTATGTTGCGAATTTATTCAACTTTCAATCACTGTTTATTAGAAATATCTTTGATACAGAAACACAAAAATTTGTAGATAGTTCCTTATTCATGTATTTGATACAATAAAACAAGGAAAGTTTTATAAAGGTCTATATTTTAGTTAAAATAAGGCGAACAATTTTGAGTAATTTCTTAACTTAAGTCTGAGAAAGCTTTGGGAACTCAGGGCCCTAGTTCAGATACAATTAGATTAAAATGGGGAG